TTCATTTTGTATTTTGAGATAATTTCATGGCACTAATTAATATTTATACAATAATTATGATAAATTTTTGACCATTGAAAATAATAAAAACATTTAAAAATATATTTTTTTATATTACTTTTCAATTAATGCAGTATTTCATGTTAAAATAGAGTCCCTCTGCGATTCTATGGTTTAGCCCCTAGATTCCTATATAGCTCTATATAAAAGGCCTATAAATTCTCTAGTTGTTTTTAGACATAAATACTTATTTTTATTAAGTTGTGGGTTTGGATATATATTTAGACATTCTCCAAGAGAACTTTTTGTAAAGGTTTAGATTTTTTGTTGTTGTTTGAAATATTGATTTGAAGCGTCAGTTTTTGAATTATTATTACTAATAAGGTGAAGTTTGACGATAGACAGATAGATAGATTGGGAGACCCTGCACATAGTTGTTGAGCTGTGGTACTCATTTTGAACTCATGCTAGCAGCAGCAGTATGAATCTAGACCAACATGTGTCTAAAAGAAGAAAAAAACAGATATAGATCTACCTGGTCTGTTTTACAAACCTGAACACAGAGAAAGCATTTTGTTACACAAAACATTAAAATTCTATAAAAATGTAACAAAAATGTTTTATCAGAGCTTAATCCTTCTGGGTTTGATCTGATTTCAACCTTTATGGTTATATGGTTATAGCCACACCAATTCATTTGAGTGTATAATTGTGTATGTTTGTGTGTGTGTGTGTCTGTGAGTGTGTTTGAGTGAGTGTGTCTGTTTTGCACTCTTGATGTTTTAGAGTGTAACCCCTTCCTTGCTGTCCACTTTTTTACAGCATTGTAGTTGAATTATTGCTTTTATTTTACATATTTGCTGTGTTAGTCACACCAGTTCATAGGTGTGTGTGTGTATAAGTGTGTGTGTACGCGTGTGTGTGTGTGTGTGCAAGTGGATGTGTTGGTTTTGCACTCTTTATGTTTTAGAGTTTCACCCTGTCATTGCTGTGTACTTTATTTCTGCATTGTGTCAGATTTGTAGATTGACAGAATTGTTGTGTTTTTGTCTGATCGAATCATGCCCTCAATTTTTTTGTGTGTTCACATTCCAAATGCCATAAAAGTCACCAAGTTTCGTACCATTCCG